AGGAAAAAGGAAAAAGGAAAAAGGAACGAGGACAGGAAAGGAGGAAGAAGGACCAAGGAAAGGAAGAAGGACGGAAACGGAAAGAAGGAAAGGAAAGGAAGGAAAGACGGAAGGAAAGGACCCGAGGCAACCAGGCAGCGCATAGAAGGAAAGGAAGGAAGGCGAAAGGACAACGGAGAAAGGAAAGGAAAGAAGGAAAGGAAGGAAGGAAAGAGGAACGGAAAGGAAAGGAAAGAAGGAAAGAACAGGGAAGGAGGGACGCAGGGAAGGAAAGAAGGAAAGGAAGGAAGGAAAGAAGGAAGGAAAGGAAAGGAAGAAGGAAGGAAGGGAAAAGGAAGGAAAGGAAAGGAAGGAAGGAAGGAAAGGAACAGGAAAGGAAAGGAACGATGGAAAGGAAAGGAAAGAAAGGAAAGGCAAGGAAGAAGGAAAGGAAGAACGGAAGCCAGGAAGCAAGGAAGGCAGACGGAAGGAAAAAGGAAAAAGGAAAAAGGAAAAAGGAAAAAGGAAAAAGGAAAAAGGAAAAAGGAAAAAGGAAAGGAAAAAAGAAAAGAGTTTCAGTCCAGGCATGGTGGTTCATGCCTGTAATCCTAGCACTCTGAGAGGCCGAGGCGGGAGGATCACTTGAGCCCAGGAGTTTGAGGTTGCTGTGAGCTAGGCTGACGCCACAGCACTCTACAGGCAAGAGAGAGAGAAAGAGAGAGAGAGAGAGAGAGAGAGAGAGAGAAGAAAAGAAACAGTTTCCGAAGCTGGTCTGGGATAAACTATCTCCGCCTGGGCACAAAAGGCTAGCCAAGATGATCTGCAGCCCGGTATCATTTGGGAGTTTGGCTGATGGCAGTTGTGGTTTTAGCCTCTGGAGAGCTAGCTGCAGAGACCCAGGGTGGGGACGAAGATGACCCTCAGGTTGTCTCAGCCTGCCCTTCCCCCGCTCAGAGTCCACACTCCCAGCTTAGAACTCTTGCTTTGTTGGAGGAAAGCCTACAAATGTGACCAAGACTGCAACTTCTGGGCCCCAATCGCACCCACATTCCAGAGCTGACCAGTAAAGTCAGCTCTCAGGAGGCCCCTGAGTAATTGCCGAGCAGAAATTTATAATAATTATAGGATTGGGCTTTTGTGTGTTTTGAGGGGAGCCTGTGATTTGGCTGTTTATTTTGCTGGAGGAGCAGGCGAGAGGCGCTGTGATTAGATGACTGAGCGGGGTGGGAGGCTACGTGCAGCTGCTGAGCTGGAGAAGGAGCCTCTGACTTCGCCTCGGGGAGCTCAGCCTCGAAAACTGCCAGGATGGAACTGGGGGACTGGGGAGACTGCCCACCGATGCACCTGGGCCTTCTAGAGACTCCCCCAGCCCCCTGCAAACGAGCGCAGGAGAGGAGATGGTTATTGCTCTCATGCTACAGGTGAAGGAACTGACGCGGACTGGTTTCCCCTATGTGCCAACTGTTACCAAGCACTTCCTTTTTCCCTAAGAGTTTGTGAGTCCCACAAACTCACAATCCTATTCTGTTTCCACCACCAGCGCACAAGTCCTGGCCCCCATCCCCTCCTGTTTGTAATTTACCAAGTGACTATCCAATTGACCAACCAATTAAACAGCTTCTCTTAGTCCCTCAGCCTATACTGTCTCCATCCATCCTTCCTCCAAACTTTTAGAAGAACATCCTTAAAACGCAGCTGTTACCAGTCACCCCTGCCTGCTCAGGATGCCACAGAGCATCCTGGTAGCCAAAGACTCTAGGCCAGAGCCTCTCAAATCCCCCTGGAATCCCCTGGGGACCCTGTTAAAATGCAGATTCTCAGCTGGGTAGCCCATCGGCTCATTGAAACTGATAATGACCTTAAATTAACAGTCCATTTTACAGATGAACAAACTGAGGCTCAGAGAGGTTGCCCAATGTCTGGGATTGGGCCTCAGATCTTAGATTTCTAATAAGATCCCAGGCGATACAGATGTTATGGGTTCATGGAGCACACTGAGTGGCAAGATTCTGCTAGACCAAACTTTCCTGCCTAGTTATTTATTCTTTAAGTGTTAAACAGGAAATCCATTTACCTGGTTTGAAAATTTTAAAAGGGCTTCACTGAAGTCTCCCTCCCAGCTCTGTCCCCCATATTTGCCCAGGTCCCCCCACCTCCACCCCAGTAACCAATTTTATTAGTTTTTTTAATGTATCTTTCCAAAGTTTCTCTGTGCCAAAACAAGCAAATAAGATCATACTTATCCTGCCCTACCTCCTGCCCTTTGCCAATGGCTGCACACTGCACACGCCGTTTGGTTAACAGTTTATCAGTTTATCTTGGAGATAACTGGACATGGTCGGCTGACTCATTTGTTTTGGGAGCTGTATCATTATTCCATTGTACGGCTGTGCCATGACTTATTTAACCAGTCACCTCTGGGTGGACATTTGATTGTTTCCGATTTTTCAAGCTGGCCTTTTTAAGCCTTCCACACCCTGGCCAACCTTGCTGTGACTTCCCCACCCATTCCCCAAGTCCCAGCTCTGCCCTCCTGAGCCCCTGCGGAGGCCTCCTGCCTGCCCTCCCCGACCCTCCAGCCCACCCTGTACTGCTCCACGGAACCTCCACTCCACTGTCGGCCCCTCCCCCTCATCTGCCCCCCCCTGTTCATCTCCCCATCTCCCCTGGGGTCGTGCTGTCTCCCCAGACAGACTGCAGCCACTTGGGCTCGGGAACCATGTCTTCGATTTCTCTGGCTCCCTCAGCCGCCCAGCACGGGCACTCTGCTATTCTCAAGAACATCAGCTATATAGAGGAAGTTACAAACAAATGGAGCTGTTTCATGGGGACTCCACTGGGGCTGGTTCTAGGTGTCAGAGCCCAGGAGCTACCCAGGGTGGGAGGGACCTCATGCCGCAGAGGTTGCCAAGAAAGAAGCCCTGTCTTGTGCCCGAGAGTCTGGAGCACTCGGGTGGGTTGTGATGCTGTCCAGGGTGTAAGAAGGCATCTGGGATTCCCTTGTGCCCTTTCGGTGTGGGCAGGGGGCGGAACCACGGCGTGGAGACAGGAGGCAGACGGATGGAGAGTGCAGGTATGTGTGCACGCCCTAGCATGGGATCTATTAACATCCTTGCCATGTTTCCCTGCCAGCTCAAGCCTCAGTTCTTTCAAGAAGCCTTCCTGGACAGCTCCAGCCCTGCAGACCTTCTTCCTGAATTCCTTCTGTGTGTACCAGCCAGAGCAGTCACTGTTCTGAAGTCAGTTGTCCACAGCCTTCTGACTGCACTCACATAAACCTCATCTTCCTCGTGAGCCCCCCACGATCCTCTGTAGTAGAAATAAGATCAATAATTGTCTTGTGCCTCATGTCCCCTGACTGGGAGGTCCTCCATCCGCCAATGCTCTTTGCATGAATAGGAATTGGTTCCAGGAGTGCCATTAGTGGGTGGGATGGGACAGAGTTGACCACAGGAGTGTCTCTGACCTAAAATACTTGTGGAACACAGGTGCTTTTAAAAATGTCACTGTGCCCCACCCCATCTGTTCCTTAGTCCCTTCTCGCCTGATACCTGGAAATCCGATGACCTCACAGCTGTAAAAGCTGTGAAGGCCTGGCTCATGTTGTCCCTTGAAGCTCAAACAAGACTTTTCAGAAATGTCACTGTCATGAAAAGCAAACAAAAAAATAGCAGGGGACTATTAAATTGAGAAATTAAAGCCACGTAACAGGCAAAGGCGATGTGTGAATCTCAATCAGACTGTGGATTGGAAAAGAAATAAAAAGTGAAAATGACATTTGGGGGATAATTGGCAAAATTTTAATATGAAGTGTGTATGAAATGATAGTGTATCAATGTTAAACTTCTTGAGGGCGACAATCGGATTGTGGTCGCACAGGGAATGTTCTTATTCTTAGACAATAGATGCTGAAGTATTGGGGAGATGAAGAGATGGGCCACACCATCCACAACTTCTAAGCTTCAGCAAAATGAAAATGAAATGTATGTATTACGTGTGAGAGAGCGCAAATTCAGCAACATCTTAACAGTGGGGGAATCCAAGAGAAGGTATATAGGTGGTCATTGTACTATTTATTCTTTCAAGTTTTCTGTAGGTTTGGAATTTTTTTCAAAATCGAAAGTCAAAGGGGAAAACGGGTTTGGTGTAAGATCTGGGTGAAGAGAGGGGGAATGTGGCGGTAGTCCTGTCCCAGGGAGCTCAGAGGAAACGTGGACTTGATCACCCCCACCCAGCCCCCTCCAAGCGCTCAGAACACATGGCACTCCAAGCCCTTGGCCTGACAGCGGCTCTCAGCACGGTTCACCAGGCTCTCCCAGGTGCTCGCCTGATGGGGCCTTCCCCGTGGGTAGCCACCCCTGGCCTGGCTAGGATGGCCCCCCAAGTGCCTTAAGGGACCACTGCTGGTCTCCACCAAGAGTGAACTGAACCCTAAGTGGGCCCGCTCTACCTTGGGTTTTTAAACATTATATTCACTTAACTTCACATAAAATAAGAATTTGATGTGCACAAAACGCCAAGATTTAGTCATCCCACACTCCCGCTGGAGCCCGGTCCAAGAGGCTATTTCCCACCCGGTCATCAGCGTGGTGGACTAGTTTGTTCCTTCATTGCTCTTGCCAGCTTACTTTTTGCTTACGGGCATTTTCTCGTCTTCACCGAAGCCGAAGCCGCGCGCCCCACTTTTTGAGGCCCCTACCATGCACTGACGTGTCACCTTTGGCCCGCCACGTCCCTCGTGCCGGACGCCAGAGTTGTTTCCCAAGTGCCCGCCCGACCTGGCCTCGACGCCCCGCCCGGGAGGGGGCGGGCCGGGGACACCGGGGGAGGAGGGTGGCTCGTCTCCCGGGCAGGGCGTGGGCCGCGCGGTCCCCAGCCCACCGGGCCTGCCAACAGCGGCCTGTGGTAGGAGGCGGCGGGGAGGAATGCGGCCCGGGGAGTTGGGCGGCGGGGCGGCGGCGGCGGCGGCCGCGGGGCGGGGCCGGGGCTGGGCGGCAGCCTCTTACCTGCCCAGGTAGCTCGCATTTCGCGGCGAGCGGCGGCGCCCGCAGCACCTGTCGCCCGGCGCGCGGGCGGGGAGGACGGCGGGGACCATGGCCTGGTAGCGGCCCCGGGGGGGACCGCGCGGAGTTCGGAGCGGGGCAGGGCAGGGCGCGGGAGGGACGGTCCTCCCCCGGCGCCCGCGCGGCCCGCGGCAGCATGAGAAAGCACCAGACGATGCAGGGCACCTTCAGCAAACTCTTCGGGAAGAAGCACGCCAGCTCCCCCAACACCTCCCTCTACGCCACCAACCCGCCCTGGATTTTCACGCAAGAGGCCCCGGAGGAGGGGACCAGAGATTTTGGTGAGTTCCCGGGGGACAGGGGAGGCCGCGGGGGGAGCGGCGGGCGGCAGGAGGGGCCGGGACGCGCTGGAACCTGTGGACTGGCCGAGAGGGAGCTGCCGGAAGGGGAGGGGGCGCCGCGTGTCCTGGAAGGGCCTTGGTGAGTGAGAGGGGCAGGGAAGGAGGGGACACCCCCCACGGCCAGCTGGGAGAACTTTGCCACCCCACACCTGACCCCAGTCCCTCTTTGGAGGTGTTTGTTTTCTCTCCTTGGTGCTACTGTTTGGAAGGGCTTCCTGAGGTTTGCAGTACCTGCTCCACTGTTCAGGGTCGCAGGTGCTCCTGGAGAACTGGGGGCTGGGGGTGGCCGTGTCCCTCACCCTTTCCGCTTCCTCTGTTCTCCCTAGCCCTGCCGCCAGCCCCTCCTGGCCCGGAGTCAAGTGTGGCAGAGAGGTGGCTGCCACCTGGGTGCCCACACACTTGGCTCTGTGTAGGTGAGGCCCAGGAAAAACCAACAGGCGCCACTACTAGCAGGTTACCAGCTTGTTTGTGACACCAAGTCCTGCTCTTGCCGGGTCAACCTGGGCCTGGACTGTCTCTGGGCTCAGACTGAGGAGCCAGAGATGAGACAGTGGAGGCCAAGGACCCCTCTCCCTGACCCCTGAATCAGAGCACTGTGTGCTCTCTGCAGGCATCTGAAAACACCACTTTGGCCCAGCCCTGGCCCGGCCATGGGTCACCTTATCACTGCATCTGTCTGCAATTTGTACTCCGTATAACTGAGGGAAGCCAGGCGAGTAGGGACAGGAATTCATTTCTTGTTATGACCTGTGGCTCTGGGCCTGGGGTAGGTGTGGGGCTTCCAGGCAAAAGGAAGGTCACCCATCACTGCTTTAGCTCACCTGCCCTCATCGCCACCACCTTATCTTAACTGACCTTTATGGCCACCGTGCTGGGACGCACAGAGGATGTTATGGCCTGGGCCCCTGCTGTCAGATTCGGTTCAGCACCCAGGAGGCCACAGTCGTGATACATGGATGGGAGCAGTGCGAATCTGAGGCTAGGGGTGAGCAGAACTGACCGTATGCCATTTGGCCCTCTCTGAGCCTTTGCTAGAAAAGATGATCAAGTGCATAAGGAACAGAGAAGAGAGATGACCTCTGAGAGGCACCAGCATTTGAGCTGACTGAGAAAGACATTCCTGGCAAAACATACAGTGGAAGCAAAGGCCAGGAGAGGGCAGGGTGAGTCAGGCATGGTTTAGGGACGAGGGACACAGGCGTGCTGCACGAAACCGTGCGGCCCGAACACCTCCCCATCTGAATAAAGACATCACGCAGCCAGATTCATCAATCCCTTCGCAGGTGTGAGGTACCATTTTCAAATCTCTGTGTTGTTGATTCGTTGAATTCTCATCCACTGTCAGACACCATTATCATTCCTGTTTGGCAGATGAGGGGACAGAGGCACAGGGATGTTAAGTAACATGCCCAAGATCACTTTAAATGGCGGAGCCAGGATTTTCCTAAGTGTGCAATCCAATGATTTTTAGTAGATTTAGAGAGTTGTGCAACTATCACCACAGTCTGGGTTTAGAATGCTTCCATTACCTGCAAAGTCCCCTGTGTGAGGCAGAGCCAATATTTGAGTCCAGGCAGGTGGGCTCCAGAGCCCACACACTCTTGGCCAGCTTGCTGAGTTAACTCTGTGGAAGGGGGCAGTCCAGAGTGGCTTTGACTTGAGGGGCATTTGCATGGGGGACACCACCCACAGGCGCTCTCTCTCTCTCTCTCTCTCTCTCTCTCTCTCTCTCTCTCACACACACACACACACACACACACACACACACTTCCTCCCCCAGTCGGAGACCTCAGACAAGCCTCCCAGGCACTTCCTCTACATTTTGCCTGGGCTGAGCAGGCTGCTGGTGGGGATCAGTCCCTCCAGGGAGAAAAGAGGGGTATGGTGCCCTGTCACCTCCCGCCAACTGCTGCCTTCACCAGCCTGGGCAGGGCTAGAGCCCAGGGCACATTTGCTCCCGGTCCCCAGGGTAGGGCCGGGCCTCCAGCTGACTCAGCCTGGCTGCGCCTGCCCATGGAAGAGTGGAAAACAGCATGCACCAGGCAGGCTGGCTCCCCAGTGTTTCCGGGGTGCTCTCTGGGAGGCTGGTGGGTGTGGCAGAGGTCCTCCGCCCTGCTGTGCTTAGGGTTGGGAAGGTGCCAGACCTGCCTTGGAGTCCTATCTCTGCCAGTAATTCTAGGCTAGCCACACTCTGGGTTTCAGTTTTTCCTTCTGTTAAATAGGAAGGGTGTCCAGACCACCTACAGGGTGAACTGCATGAAGTGGTGTATATGGCAGTGCTTTGGAGAGCATTAAAAAGAAAAGCTCTAAAGCAAGAATTGGCAGACTATGGCCCTGGCTCAATTCAGGCCCATGGCCTATTTTTATAAATAAAGTTTTATTAGAACATAACCAACGATGCCCATGATTTACATATGGTCTATGGCTGCTTTCATGCAAAGTTGAGTAGCTGCAAAAGAGACTATATGGACTGCAAAGCCTAAAATATCCGGCCCTTTACAGAAAAAGTTTACTGCCCCCTGCTCTAAAGCATGATTTATTATTATCAGGTCATTCCCAACACTTTGGTTCCTCTTCCTACATTGCTGTAGACCAGAGGAAACTGAGGCACGAACAGGCCATTTTAAAAGTCTCCTAAGAGGTGGAGATGAGAGTTGCATAGGGCACCTGAGTCGGGGACATTCCTCTCAAGCCTGGGGTGAGTTGCTGGCATTATCTATCTTAGCTGCTGGAGATCAGGCCACGGGATGAAAGGGGGAAAATCAATGCAGGGGCGTGTAAGGGAGTTAAGGAGTAACCAACTGCTTGCTCTCTGGCCACAGCCATGTAAAAATCTGTTTGCACAAGGGTAGGTTGGGTGCAGTGGATAAAATGCAAACAGTCACATGAAGCTGGTGACGGGTAAATTTTTCTTTAAAGAATGTCCCTAACATGTTGTCCAGTAATTAGGAGGACTTCACTGAATGCAATTGCAATCCTGATTAAGCCTTTTCTGCCCTCTCCCAGCCCAAGCAAGGGTCTTAAAAGGCCACACAATTGTCTTCTAAATGCATGAGAAAACAGAGATGTGGATCTTTGCAAATCCCAAGATAAGGGACTGGGCTGCTGCTGAGACAAAGCTTCCAGTCACTCAGGACTCCTCCCTTTCCTCTTATCTAGCGCCACTGCACCCCACCCCAGCAATGGGACACCCTTCTTCATCCACATGTGAAGCCACTTGGGCACAACTACCTAGACACTTATTTAAAATGCAGATTCCAAGGGTCCCACCTCGGGCACAGGAAATCAGAGGGCTGGGCTAGAAACCAGGCTCCGGGTTTTTAACCAGCTCCTGGGTAATCCTTTCGAGCAGGAAGAGTTGAGGATCCTGGGATTTCCTTCCCCACCTGAAGCTGGGCGGCTCTTTTCCCCAGGACTCCCCGCAGGGTACACAGGAGGTTCTAGATAAATGTGGAAAGAATGTGGTCAGCTCCTTATCGGAAGCACCCTAGGGGACAGCCTGTGTGATGTTCCTGTTCCTGGGCCCCCAGACGTTGTGCCGCAGGCCAGGCTACAGAGTGGGAAGCCATAAACCCCCAGAGCTGGCCATGTCTCCAGCCAGGCCGGGCTGGCAGCAGCCTACCCAAAGCTGACCTGTGCTTTGCAGGGGCGTGAAGGAGACTTTTGTTTACTCCTGTCCCCTGGAGGTGTGCTGTGGTTTGCCAGCAGTTCAATACACACACACACACCCTCTCTGCTGCCTCATTATTTATATAAGCTCCTCCTGTTGCTCTAGTTCAACTCCAGAAAGCCAGGCCCTCCCTTGATCGCTACAAACCAACTACAAGGTGCCCCTTTTCCCCCAGCCAATAAATTTTTCCCCCAACTATTCTGTCTGCAAGACCAGCCAATAAATTAATAACAATAATAATATCATTATTATCAGTTACCATTTATCGAAGCAGGCTGTGTGCTAACAATTACATATGGTCTTCTCAATTGAGGAAACAGACTCAGAAGGAGGCTCAGGGAGGTCCAAGAACTCGAAGTCATTCCAGCTCAGGGCTGCTCAGGCATCAAAGTGCATCCAGTCCCCTGGGGTCTTGTTAAGATCAGATCGTGATGCAGTGGGTTTGGGTGGAGGGAGAGCCTGCCTTTCCCACAAGTTCCTGGCTCATTCCGCTGGTTATAGGCTGGGTTGCAAGTCCTCACCAGGAAGTAGAGGGTCCTGTTTGCTGTGCTCGGCCCCTTTCTGTGTGGGGTCCTTTGAACTGCCCTACCCCAAGGTTCTTGCCTTCCTATTCCCTCCTCCCCTACTCTGCAGCTCCCTGCACCTCCTCCCCTCCTCCACCCCAGCCCAACCTTCGTTGTCCCCTCTGTCCTTGGACAGAGCCTCTCTCTCTCTGGTGCTCGGGTCAGGCTTGCTGGGGCTTGCTGGGACGGACTGGCCTTTTCAGGTTCCTGTCATGTGGACCTGCTAATTAGCAAGGAAGGGCCTCATTAACGCCATTTGTGGGTTTCATTCACATGGGCCTCCCCCTGCTGCTTCCCTGAAAGGCAGGGCTCCCTTAGTGGCCGATGATTGGACGTCCCAGCTCGTACCTCACTGTATAATGCCCCATTCTATATCGACAGTGTGGTAGAAGCAGGGTGAGGTCTGCTTTAGGGTTCTAGGTTGCTCTGGGTCGAGGCAACAAACTCCCTAAGCTAAGGCCCCTCCCCTCCCAAGCCCCTGGAATCAAATTCCAGTGCTCCGGAGAGGTCATCTAGGGGCTCCCGGCAATTCAAGCCCCACACTGTCATTCCAGCCCTCCTCCCAGCCGTGATAGCTTCTTTCCCTCCACCGCCCTGATTTGGGGAGGCTTCCTGCAAAGAAGTAATTATCCCCATTCTACAGGTGAGGAAACTGAGTCTGCGACAGTGCCCGAAACTCTCGGGTCTTCCTGGGAGGAGCTGGGTTG